TTTTTAAGAATATGCCAATGCCATTAGATCCTTTTGTTGACGACTCAAATAATAGAAGATTATGGATCGGAAATTTGGATCCTAGAGTAACAGAGTAAGTAAAATCAAACTTAAAATTTTAATGTTTTTAGTAATGTACTGAGTTAGCTATTGTAATTTTTTTTTTTATTGGTTTGTGCTTTTAAAACTTCTGCAACAACATGGTGCAATCGAAAAATTTGATTTATTATTTCATCGATCGGGCCCGTTAGAAGGCCAACCTAGGGGCTACGCTTTTGTAACTTATGTACAAACAGAATTCGCTGAATCGGCGCAAAAAAAACTCGATGGAAAATATCTCGGAAGCAAAAAATTAAGTGTAAAATGGGCCTGCACTCTTACAAAGGTAATAATTTAATTTTCTGTTTAAAAAAATAAAATAATAACAGTAAATTTATGCCTAAGAAATCAGTTAGAATCCTGAAATAAATTCTAAAAAACTCTGACTAGTACATAGAAATTTGTCATGTTCAAAAATGAAAATAATAATAATAAGAATGACAAAAATTAAAAATAATTATTTAAACATTTGTGATTATAACCATCACTATTTACAATATTAAAAATTTTCTAGGAACCAGTAATTGAAAAGCAAAAACCTATTTTAAACATCCCAGCTTTGGCAGGTACTAAGGATACAAAAAAAGTGAGTAAAACATCTACAATACAAGCAATAGAAGCAAAACTCAAAACAATGGAAGAAGCATCTTCATCATTTTATCTTGAATTAGACAAAAAACCATCAAATTTACAAAAAAGAAAATATTCACCATGTAATAAATCTAATGTAAAAAAATTAGGCAAACTAAATGGTAATATGAAAAAAAAAAAAACAAAACATTAACAAAATATTTTTTGAAATAGTATTTTCAAAAAAAACTTAATAAATAAATCAAAATGATTTTTTGTGCATTAATATAATAATTTCACATAATTATTTTTAAATTTTGAAGAAAAAAAAAAAAAACGTTCATTTACACACAATGAAAGGAAAAATGAAATTTTGTATTAAATAAAAACTTAATTAAATTGTATTAAATATTAAACTGAAATTATTATTATATTAAAATGTATTTAATTAATACTTTCATTTGAAAAGCATTTTAAATTTCGACTTTTAGTTAAATTCTCATTGAATAAATTTATGATTAAAAAAAAATTTAAATATTAAAAATTAAATGTGAATTTTTTTCTGTTATTAATTATGTTCATTGACATTCATTAAAATGTCTTCATCAACTTCATATTTAATAATTTTTTCAAATAATGACGAATTAAACGTTTATTACAGTATTTTGTTTAAATAAAAATAATTTTTGTTCATTTTAAATATAAGATTGAAACTAAGAAAAATAGTAAAAAAGTGATTTAAAAAAATAAAATTTAATAATTTTATACTTAATTATACTGCCTTTGTTTAGTATTATTTAATTTTTACAAGTGTATTTACTTTTATCATTATCAAATTAAATAAAAATAATTTTTATTTAAAAAAAATAATTGAGTTAACACAATTGTTTTATTTCCCTTTAAACCTTTTTTCTACCTTCAGTATTCGATAAAAGAATCAATAGGTTTGTGAAAATAGTATAAAGAAAGAAAAGAAAAAAAAGACCGGACAAAAATAAATTGTATTATCATTTATATTTAAATTGGACGGAATATAATTTTTACAGGTTAAATTAATTTAAAAATAATTATTTAAAAATTATATTTTTAGCATACGTTACACAATTAAAAAAAAAAAAAAAGAGTCTTATCAATCAGTAAATGTGAGAAAAATTACTCAATATGTACGATTCCATGTAGAGAAAGAAGAAACTATCATCAAATAACTGTATCAAACTATTTTTTTTTTTTTTTTTTTTTCTTATTTTTAGTCAATTTATCCATTTTATCTTCCTTGAACTGAAAACATCAAATTAAACACGTTTAATGTCATCTTTTTTGTTAATTCGCCATCGTTTTTTTATTATACATAATTAATTTTAATAAAAAGCTCAGATGGTTGCAAATTTAATAATCATTTTGTTCATGTGAACTATACCAAAACATCATAGCTTTTATTAAATGCAATAAAAATGATAGATAATAATTGACTTACTATAAGAAGAAAGATCAATTTCGTCTGGCAATTCCGTTATGTTGACATCAAAACGTTCTTGTACTTCATTCAAAATTTTAGCATCAGCCTCTTCGCTCACAAAAGTTATTGCTAATCCCTGAATAATAATTATGTAATAATTATAAAATAATTAATAATTTTTTTTTGTTTGTTAAATTTTATATTCCTAGTATACCTTGGTTCCGAAACGACCTGCTCTTGCAACCCGATGCAAATAAGTATCAGAATCTTCTGGCATGTCGTAGTTAAATACTATATTAACACGTTCTATGTCCATACCTCTTCCAAATAAATTAGTAGCCACTAAAATTCTCTAAAATACAAACAAAAAAAGTAAATAATTAATCCCTTTTAAAATATTATTCATAAAGAATAAAAAATATCATAAATATTTATTTAAAATTAAAGAGAAATTTAATTATCAGTTTTTAATGCAATCAACATCATTATTTCTGATGTCCCTATCTAAAAATGCATAATAATTCATCATGTAATTAACCAACAACAGTTTCATTTAACTCCGTTGAAAGTTGAATTTGATTTTACAAAAGTAATAATTATTTCTTCAACTCGGTCTCTTAATTTATGACGTGTTAATAAATTATATATATATATAATATGTTAATTAAAGATTAAAATAATACAAACCTTTTGAAAATCTTTAAATTGCTGATATCGTGATAGTCTTTCTTCTTGAACCATTCCCCTATGAATAGCAATTGCTGGAAAATTTTGCTCTGTGAGCAATTGTGCCAATGCCATGCATCTTTGAACTGATTTTACAAATATAACAACCTGAAATGTAAAAATTTTAAAATAAATCAAGACCTGAAATGATAAAATTTTCCTTTTTTTCGAAAGCTAAAAGACGAACCTGATTGAATTCCAGAATATCTAATAATTCAAATAGTTTTTTATTTTTTTCATTTTCCTTTAATTTTACGTAGTGTTGTTGAAGACCGTGAAGTGTCAGCTTAGCTTCGTCGTTGACGTAAACTTCCATAGGCTAAATACAGAAAATTATAGAGATTAAAAAATAGTAAAACTTTTCAAATAAAATACAAAAATTTTTTGATGAGTACGAATTTCAGTTGTAAATTAATTCGCATTCATTTCTGCAATCATTGAAAGCCGTAAAAAAAAAAAAAAAAAATCAAAATAATTTTATTAATTTAAAGGAGGAAACTCAATTAATATAATTAAATATGTACGAATGTAAAGGATTTATGATATAATTTTTTACACGCACTCAATGCAATCCTAAAAGATTCTTTCAAAAAAAAAAAAATCAATTAAATAATAATTAGATTTAAAAACTCAACAAGCAAAAAACTATTAATCAAGTTTTATTTCAATTCAATCGTTTTTTCCCCATTAAAAAAAATTTTTTTTTTTAAATGAGTTGATCGATAAAAATAATGAAAGTTTTTGAATCGAGAATCCCCAAAATTTATTCTACCTAAATTTAATATCTGGCTAATAAAAATTCGTAAGCTTTAGTATTATACGTAAAAAAAAGTTCCCAAGACATTTTTTTAAAAAAATTAAAAAACTAATTACTGTTGTTTGAAATCAAGTTAATTTTGTTATAAAAAATTTTTTTTTTACAAATTCCATTTTTATAAAAGAAAGTATCACATATAGAAAAAATGGGAAAATCATTCTTGAACACATACACCGTATAGGTAAGACTAAATAAAACCCAAGTCTAAATAATTGTTTTGAATATTTCGTACAATTAAAATTGGTATTATTAACGAGTTTTTAAATAAACGTTCTCAATCAAGCTCTGTCACCTAACAAAATACCAGAGATCCAAATTAAAAATCTCTTTTTGCATTTTAACACTTATTTTCTCCAACCAATTATCACAAGGATTTTAATGTAGAAAAAAGGAATTTTTGTAGTTCTTAAAATGTTTAGCAACCATTTCAATTCAAAATACTTAGGCTGAAGTAATTTTCCTATTTTTTTTCCTCCATATGAAATGTTACTGTTACCTGCATACCATAAAAAAAATATGTGTATCCATACAATCCAACTCCAAGAACCAAACAATTCTACAGTATCTTGAAGTGTTTGAGTAGATACATTACGTCATCATTTGATTTTATCACAGAGACTGTGATGCACTTCAACAAAATTTTAAGGCAAACCGTTATCCCACCCTAAACCATTATCTTCTACGTTGACTCTTCCTTCTTCTTTTTCTTTTCTTCTTCGATGACCCACCCCAAACCTCAACACAAAATTGTCATCAGAGTAAAATAAATTATTAACTCTGATTTAAAAATTAAAACTTCTTCTTTCTTCTGCGCTGGCTTTTCATTGTTTTCTTCTATCTTCACAATATTACCCCCACCCTAATATTGGATTCTACTGGATATTAATGAAAATGAAATTAGGTATGGGTAAATATCCGAGGGTAGGGATCAGGTTTTAGAAAGTTAAAAAAAATTATAGCGCCACTTCGTGCTCAGAAGTAATAGGAATTTCAAGTGGTTCAAATATGATCGAAGTTTGATTATTCAAACGAATTAAATATTTTGGGTATAGGGATAAGGCTCGACGAGCTCAGGACAACTATGCTATTAATATTGGATAATTATTATATGAAGCAATTACATCTTGCATAAATTTTTTGCAGACAGGTCGAATTTCCTTGCTCAATGTAGCACTAAACATCATGACTTGCTTCGCGTGAGGAGTGTTTCTAAATATCTCTTGCACATCACGCCTCATATCTGAATATAAAATGAATTCAAATAAGAAA